TTGTCCAACTATCAAACAATGTATGTTGTCCAACTATCAAACAATGTATGTAGTCCAACTATCAAACAATGTATGTAGTCCAACTATCAAACAATGTATGTAGTCCAACTATCAAACAATGTATGTAGTCCAATTATTAAACAATGAAGCAGCTTCGTTATTTGTTAAAAACAAAACTAGACAATGGGATATCAGTGGATATTGAAACCAGTCACTGTATATGCTAGCCCTTACGGCAGTGGGGGCGTTATTTGGCTTGTTCAGAATTCCATGCAAAGCTAATCGAAAATTATCTGCGCTAGTCGTCCCAAATTTTGAATTGATAGACTAGATGAAAGGCAACCAGTCACCCCACCCATTGTCAACTCCTGGGCTGCTCTCTACCAACGAATAATGGGATTGACCGTCACGTTATAACGCTCCCACGGCTTAAAAGTTGAGCATGTTCGGGGATTGTATTCGAACCCGTGACCCTAAGACTGAGAGTCGATCGCCCTAGTCAGGGGGTATTATAGACCTATGACCAATCCCAAAGAGTAGACCAAGAGTTGGCGGAGGGGGGTGCTGACAACTAACGCAGATAACCCTCGAGTAGCTTTGTGCGAAACCCAACAAACAAACAATCGAGAGATTTGAAATAAATTATCTTAATTACCGACAAACCACAACGGTTATTAAAATATATTTTCTAAACCATTCACCAAATTGCTTATAGATCCACGATTGTGTTGGTTACAGGGTCCCTAATAACTCCATTGTATAACGTCCGCTAGGGTACGCTATGTATTTCACGTTATTACGGGCAAAAACATAAAACTGCTTAGCAACATATAACGTGTTGATGGCCCCCACCGGTAGTAAACGGCATAAAAAAAAAAGTCTGCAAATTGTATGGCCATATTTTTTGGGAAAAAATGCACAATGGGGTATTTGCGATGTGTTGACCGCAGGAATTAAACCCAAAATTGTAGCGCTGTAAGTTCCGAAGCTAATAACAGAGTCACAGTAGGACTTTTATTTAATTAAATATTTGTAATATTATTAATTTAAAAAGGGGTGCTTAAATAAAACGTATATATAGAAGACACGTTCGTACATTCTTAAATTGAATCCACAATCAGGCCAACCAGATTACATAGTTTATACACTTTACGTTTGAGGGCGCTACTTTCAATTTTATACTCTTTCAAACTTCTCTTCCTTTCCTTGCAAATGCAAAATGCTGACAAGCGCAAAAGTAGGCTTAAAGTCGGACCAACAGACAAGTTTTATTTTCCAGTACAGATTAAATACATAGAATATTAACTTCGACATTTGTTTTCCTACACTAATTTGTTCATGACAAACTCGGCCTGAAAAGCAAAAGCAAAACCAAAAGTTTATCACATTCATTGGTGCTCAATTTTTATTTTCCATAATCTAAAACTAAAAATACTATGATTAATACCTTCTGACAAACAAATCAACTAAAACGTGTCACATGTTTGTATTATAAGGTTACAGAGAACCGAATTCTTACGTTTAAGTAACAGTTGTTAACCTCTTATGTAGTATCTACAAAATATCTGGTTTTCCTTTACTAGAAGTTCAAATTGTAGTTATTTGTACCATTATTATAAATGAGACATTTTCTAGTAAATGCGTTTGAAAGTCATTTGAATTTCCTAAACCACGTGAAAAGTTAGTTACCGTAGAAAACCCTTAACTACGAGGTTTCTGGGAGACAGAAAGCCTTTACCTTCGACAAAAACACGCTATTTTGTTTATAAAATATTACTAAACATTTACACTCATAAATCAAAAACAAATAAAACAATAACTGTGTTTGTTAGTTCAAAAACGGTGCACACCAAAAGAAAAAAAAAAACTACCTTCGCAAGGAAAAAAATCTCGAATCAAACAGAAAATCAATTTTACGACATACTGCAAACCGGCTGCAAAATCCATATTCTACATACAAGTGTCAGTTCAACAATGTGCCAACTGTGGAATATTCAAGTAGGCCCATTCAGTTTACAGTGTTACTTAACAAGTTCATAATTCGTTTTCTTCTTATTTAAAACTGCTCGTGTGTAGATAATTTTACAAATATACACATTTAAAACATTAAATTACTTTTTCTAAACGTTTAGTTTTGTTCAGAATTGTTTACAGTGTTACTAGCTTTGAAAAAAAATCCAAACGCTTATAACTAGCATAAGAGGAAACTAAATATTTATAGTATCACTGAATAA